TATATATATATGTAGGAAATAAAAGTGAAGAGCCTTGTAAAGATGGTAATAAATTATAACTCTTGAAATTTTTCATTCTTGAATTCTATTATCATATAAAAGAAAGGAAAATGTATTTATTTCCTGCAACAATTTTATTTCCTACAACTTGACAAACATGACAAGATGAAGATGAGGTATTCCTGAAATGGACGATGAGATGATATTGAAATTATGGAGGTACCGGTGTCGATCGAAGATGAGTCAGTGGTGAGTATAACGCAGTTCTATATAAATACATTCAAAACTTGCATGAAACTGGCACAAAACGGCATTACATAAGTGATCCACAAAGTGACGGTAAGTGTAAGAGACTTGTTTCGAGTTTCAAAAAAAGAAAAAACACAACTCAATTTACAATGGAAGTGGAAGGTGGAGACAGGATGGAAAGCCCTGCGTAGATGGAATTTTTGCCCTTTTCCTTACTGTTTCGTCGTCAAAAAGATCGACAAATTTAGATTTGGACAAAGAAAGTCTATTCGCATTCGATCTACGCAAAGTGATGTGATCGCCACTGAGAAAATGTGGCTCTATCAACTACAGAGAACTTCGAGAAAGCGAGCATCTAGCGTCAATCTCTATATCAGCGCGCAAAAAGGTCGGTTAATAAAAGAAAAACCACAGAGAGGGCGATTATATGTGATAAGAATGAAATGGTTGGTGTGGCGATCAATTCGCTGACTGAAATTACTGTTGTCGGATGTTTCGTAAAAAAGGGTAAGAGAGATTAAAAAGAAACTACAAAGATCCAAACCATCGACTTGCCTCTCTGAACGGTTCGGCATATTCAGACTCGCTCTACAACGAAGGGGATAGTAATTCAATAGTTAGAATCGCAGTATTAGACACTTTAAGAAACTAATTCGTTCTACGAGTTCGCGCGCACCTCGACAACTTTTAAAGAGTTAGATGCGGCTGATTTGTTTTCGTATTCTCTTCATTAGTTCAGATTCAGAGAAAATGCGCGATAATACAAATATAATAAATAATACAATAATTATCGAGGTGCGCTTTTGAATATATTATTACGCAAGGATTCTTACCTTCTTCCCTCGATCGTGCAACTTCTTTTCCGTGTCCTTGAGCATCTCCTGACTCCACAGGTCAAAAAAGTAATTCGGATCGGTATAGAACTTTAAGCCGTCCTTGCCATCCTCTCTGAAAACAATAGAGTTCAATTATTTTTCGCAAATTAAAACTATATATAGTGATGAAAATTAAACAATGTCGTTAATTACCTATAAATATTAAGCTTGTCTAGAGGCGGCGGCGTATCGCATTGGTGATAGGTCTCCATCATCGCCGTCGGCATCGTGTCTCTGGAGACGACTTGCTGATCAAACACCACAGAGCTCTTGAAGGCTTTTCTCATGTGTATATCTTGCAACGAAACTGAAAAAATCAAGAGCCCTTGATATAGAGACCTTCTTCGTCTAATTTTTCGCAATTTTATGTGTATTTAGAATTTTCTTTCTAATTGTTTTTATTTCTGTGTACAGTTTACTATGGAAATCAAAACGAGCATATCTCACGTACCTTCCTCGACATTACTATCTAGCTGAGTGACTTTGACGGCCAAACGATCTATCCTAGCCTGCAGAGAGTTGGCTCGATCGCTCAATCCGTGCGCCTCCCTCGCCAGCTCGCCGAACAGATCTTCGGCGTGCCTCGATAGACTTGACAATTGTCTGATAGTATTGGCTAGAGTACCGTTAGTGGCTGCTTCGAGCTCCGATGGCAGCGGAAAGTCCTCGGGGATGGTGCCGCGCGCCACATGTACGGGCTCCACTAGTCGTTTCGGAAGCGGCATCTTGCCGGCTGCTTATTCCTCCTGCTTGCTCTTCCTCGCGGTAACTCACTCACCGCTCTCTCGAGACCTGAAATCATCCCCAGAATTATACAGAATTAATTATCAGAAATATCAATGGACAGATTGTCGCAATTTCAAATTTCTTAATTATCTAACGTTAATCTTGTGATAATGTTGAAAATTTGGTCGAAATCAACTGATATTAATAATAAAAGAAACATGTCTCCTTCACATTATTTTGAAGGAATTAATTTTCCATGCATTGAATGCTTAAATAATTAAAAGCGTTGCACACACAATTAGAAATTTCTGAATTATTATTATTGCAAACATAATTTCCATGAAAATTATTTGTATTTTTGAAAGATATTCCATATATAAAAAATTACTTTAATATAGTTTGATGAAAGTTTCATATATTATTTAGAAGCTGATTTTAGAATATCATGTAAGAGATATTATTAGAAAAATAGCTAAAAGGAAAATTGTAATTAAACATTGCCGAAAATACAACTATAATATTTTGTATTGGTGATATCGTTCAAAATAATTGAACAGAATTCTTCTGTATATAGTAACAATGTATGCTTCAAACGTGAGAATAATTGAATGAAACTCTTCTCCTAGCGCAAATTTGCTTGAAACGTGATTTATTCGCGAGTAGCTTTTGAAGAGTACTCGACCAGTGTGAACCACTCGTGGTAGCTTAAAATCGCCCCCGTTTTTCCCGAAGAGGACCGTTAACAAGATGAATATTTGATTCACCCGAGGACATCCCTTTGATCCAGCCCCTGTTACATCCGGCAATGTAGAAATGGGGGAAGAATCGAACGAGAGAAATTGCGAACGCATAATCTCGCGGATTCAGCTATAAATATACATTCGTATAAATTCGTTTAATTCAAAGTCTTCTAAATTGGCGATATCTCATCGCTCGCTGCCTCTTATCTCGTTAAGCGCCGCTTGTTTCATTTTTCCGCGGGTTTTAAAACATACACTCAACGTGCATGCACGCACGCACGCACGCACGCATGCATGCAACGGGTAAATACTATTGCATTACGCAATTACTAGCGTCATACGTGATAACGATAATATCTTATCGCTCATGGTCGACTGCCATTAGCAAAGTGGCCGTATCAGTTTTCCTTTTTCAAATTTTTATTTAATTATTATAAACGTGAGTTATCAATATGAGAACTTGTCCATTAATTTGCAAGCAAATGATGTTACAGTTACACTAACAGATTGCTGAATTGAAGAATTGCATTCACAACTATTTAAAATTTATTCATTTTCCCAACTTTAAGAACGCGAGATTTAATTATTCCATTTAATAAATAATTATTATATTTATAATTATCTTA